AAGTCATGTTACTGGAGATTCAATATTGGCCAAAACACCAGATCAGAAACTGGCCATAAAAGTTAATATGGAAGATAAAAATACCCTGGAAGATCTCATGTTTTGCTTGGTTAGTGAGCAAAAGGGCCTGCTTAACACATGAAGTGCTTCAAAAGAAAGGCAGACAAATATGCTCAAGATGCTTTATGTGTGATCAAGATGCAGAAGTTAATAGTCCCTTATTCCTTCCTTGCAAAGTAGCTACAAGCATGTGGAACATGTTTCTTGGTCTTCTTGGTGTTTTATGGGTAGTTCCAAAGTCCACTAAGGATTTGCTCTACTGCTGGAAGGAGATAGGAAGAAGGGAGTCTAATGAAGATTGGTGGGAGTTAATCCCAGCCTGCATTTGGTGGTCCCTTTGGAAAGAAAGGAAGGGAAGATACTTTGTGGATAAGAGAAGCAACATCCAGAAAATTAGAATGAATTGTCTTAGTCTTTTGTACTTTTGGTGTAAACAAGATATGGTGGGGGATATAGAACTTTTTGCTGACTTTATAAGTAATTTGTAATTTCCCATAGGGTAGTTTGATATGCTCTAATGAGATTGTAAGTGACCTATGCTCATCATTTGTTTGATGATGAGCCTTTTGTGAATATACAGTTACCTTTATCTCAAAAAAAAAAAAAAGAATACAAAGAAAACCTCATGTTCAAACTTGTTTTTTTGGAAACTGGTAACTTCATCCTCATTTTCAAACTTAACACTCACAACACTGAATTAGACAAAAATGGGAAATGCCTTCCACATCTGCCAGTGAGAACTCACTAAAGTAAGTTCACATGAATGTCAATCCTATACTATGTAATCTGAACCTAATAGAAAACTTCAATCATTGATAGTAAGTTCACGTGAATGTAGACGTACTCAAAACGAATGTTGCCACTGGAACTGTAATCATGAATTAATAAGCTTATTTACAAGATCCTACATGCTGTTGCGTTGCTGTCAGTTTCTTCACCTCCAGCAGCTGTGCATGACAAACTTATTCAGTCTGGTCCAATAGTATTTGAATTTTGGACCTCTGTTGTAGTTCACACCAGTCAGTTGATCTCCTTTTCTTGTCCATGTTTTCGGCATCATTATATGTTACTGCCATTCTGCATAACTGGTCTTTTTCCAATGAAATGTTAAATCAGATGCTCACACAGGAGAATAAGGATCTGTGCAAGGAAGTAGAAAGACTTCAGATGGAGTTAAGCATGCTTAGCAAAGAAAGAGTTGATCTATTAGCCCGTAGTAGAGAATCAGAGACAGAGCCAATTCATAGAGATGACTTTCAGGTTTGCCACTTGAATGCCATGAACAGCTTATTGACGAATCTTCTCTCAGAACAAGTAAAGGAGATGTGATTCTCATTTATCTGAGACAGATTATTACAGATGTATTTTGTTACTTAGACTTTCTCTACTATGCTCGAGGATAACACTATATTTTGGTTATCAGCTTTCAAATTCAAATCATGAAGTCGAGCAGTTCAGTGAGAAGCTTTCAGCTTTGGAGGCTAAAATGCATAATGTAAGCAATCATACACATGGTCAATCACACACTGTACTTGATTATGATGAGATGACAAGTTACCTTTTTGTTGCTATATTTGTACAAGTTATCCTCTCTTATTTCTTGGTTCTAGTATAATACTATATTGCTATATGTGATTATTGAGGTTAAGAAATGAAATAAGTGTGTACTGTGAATAAAAGCTTCTGCATCTGCTTCTATATGTTGTTCTTGCATTTGCATAATTTCTGCATAGATGAGTAGATAATCTGCTGAACATGTTTGCATGTGTAATTAAGGAATGTTTCCTTGTGTATGCATAATTACGAACACAGCATATTTTCGTGATAAGTTGCACGTATCTAAAAGAGCAATCTGAGTCAAGTGGTTCATTTCAAGCTTACTATTTTCAAAAGAGAGTGATGTGATTATCTGATGTCTGAACAGGGTGAAGTCAACCACAACAGTGATAAAGCTAAGTTGAGAATGAGACTTCGAGGGGCACAAGCAAAATTGGATGCATTTCGAGTAAGGTACCAAGAGGCGATGGATGAGATAGACTTTATGAACAAGAAATTCGAGGCGGCTTCATCAAAGCTGAAAAATCAGTTAGCTTCAAGTGGTCTTGAAATCCTCAGCCTCAAGAAGCAGCTAACTTCTGGAAGGGGTCCTTGATTGGTTAATATATCCTTGCATATGTATAAAGTACATATCTGTTGGATGATATGAATATGAATATCTTAACTAACCAGTAAAATATATACCAGAACTTGACAAGTCGTTATTCACCATTAAACGTGCCTGTAATGCATCAATACACCAAAGACGTAAAGTTTATCTACTGGTATGTCGGATTGGAAAAGCGAACTACAAATGTGAAAAACCTGTAACAACCTAATCTGCTAGTGATAATGTGTGTTTTTGGGTTTAGGTCCGCACGACTTTAAAACACATCAAGTGTGTAAGTCATGCTTATTTACGCAGACTCAGAATTGAGGTTTGCCCAGCCTTCAGAATTTGCCTAAATCCAGTTAACTCTGGCCCATGGTGACAAGACTAACACAAGAGTAACTCTAATATTATTTTTAATGGGTCAAAGCAGAAAACATCACTAGGTGATTGGGCTAATATAGTCATATTTACAAAACATTCATTGATTAATAAATGAAAAAAATTGTATTCTTGTTTTGGAACTTTTAAATGCTAAAAAAACGACTTCGATTCAATAGAAACTACAAATTTCTTTCACTAAATAATTATGGATATTTTTACAAAATTTGGACTTAAAAAGTTTTGGACAAGCATTTACAAAATATTCATGGACTAATGCTCATGAAATATAGAAAAAAAATTGAAGCTATTGAGTTTCAAGATAAATTGAACCCCTTTGGATGCAACGAGGTTTTACCAAACTGGAGGAAAGTGATCCTAATAATGTGCATGCTGTCGTGAGTACTTGAATCTGCATTGTATCGATTGATCAATGCATGAAATGTATAGTATGTAAAATAGCTAAATGAAACAAGTGGCAAAATTGAATATATTGATATGGAACAGTAAATTTGAAGTAGACTGTAAAATAGTTACTGAAAAGTAATGCATGTATGTGTACTTTAACAATCAAGCTTCACAACTGATTATGTATGATATAATTTAATTTTCTTGGAGAGTTTCTCTAATTGACAACCACCACGCGAGTTTTATGATGATACAACGTTTTGTCCATGTTGCTAGAGCTATCAAGTACATTGCCAGGATAAGAACAAACTGAACTATGAATCCAATCTCTAAGCCCTTACTAGGAGCTTTCTTAGCAGTCGCCCGAATCAATGACACAATCCTATCCTATGTTGTTGGCCGCGCAGTTCTAGGGGTTTGGATTATATGAACCTTTACCTAACTCGGTGCTCAATACTACTCCCAAAAACAAGCAATGTGCTCAATAACTATAAAATAATATCCCACTTTAGGGGAAAAACTGATAATTTGATACTCGGAGTCAATTTTCAATAAAGTTTCTTTAAAACTGAAATGAACTTTATTTTAATTTAAAACCTAACTATACTTTTTTGAAAAACATAAGATTATGCTTTCTTTTTGAAAATTTGTCTATGCTTTCTTTGAAACTGAACATGTTTTCTTTAAGAAATTGTCTAAACTTTCTTTATGAAAAATATGCATCTTGAATGCAAAATATATATTTTCTTGAAATAATACACTTGGGAGTAGTTTGGTGTGAGATATTAGGTATAATAATTTCAGGATTAAAATGCAGGACTATTTTATACTGTGTTTGGTTGGAGGTTAAAGGCAATCTTGATATTATTTATCTGCCATTTATACCTTACTGATGTGATAAGTTATCACATATACATGATGTAATAACTTCTTCCAATATAACTTATCTCGAAATAATTAATCTAGGAATAACTTGTTTCCAACCAAATGACCCTTTAATAACAAGGCAATTGAGACATGATTTATTAGAAAGATTTCGAAAAGTAACAATCCAATTATTACAAGCTATAAGTAAACCTTAATTCAACCACAACTAATTAAGGCTTAACATTTAGTGTTAGTAAATAAAGAAAACACAAAACAACAATGAAGATTGTTGCACTTGCAGCCTTGGTAATTAAAAGAACTGAACTTTTCTTTTCAAAGAAGAATTAACAAATTTTGATCTGTAACTAATATTCCATAATTTTGATTAAATAAATAAATTATTTTATTGAAAATTTCTGACCCAAAAAAACAAAGGTCTAACTAATTTGAACCAATGTAAACATATTGGTCTGGATATGCTCGTTTCTATAATTTTTTTTGAAATATACAAGTCAAATTTAATTTATTTTATTTTATTTTGTAGTGATGATACACTTTCTATAGTATAAAACTCATTACAAGTCAACTTGAATTTATTTTATATATTTATCAAATTGAATAATTATGGACATGGTATTGACTATAGTATAAGCATGATTTTGACACTATGATATTCTTTTAAGGTTTAATTCGGTAGGAAGTTGTATTTATCTACTGATTTGTAAAATAATATTTTTATGCGAAGTTGATCATTTATACGTCTGGAATTTTTTTATTTTTTTTATACTTGTTTACTAAGCAAATCATGGTTACCTAACAATGAAGGAAAATATAGAATTAATTGCCTAGCTACTCTGAAGTTATAATTTATTTATTTATTTGCAACTGTGAGATACCTTCTTTTTTGATAAAAAGATTATATATGTATAGTTAAATGTATGGTTGTTACATTATCACTACTAGTACCGATTATAGATAGATTGTCAAAATGGACTAACTTATTACGTATAGAAACTTTGTAGAATTTTTGAAGGAGAAAAGGACGCAGGGACCACACATTGGTGAGATTGACCATGAACTATTTTACTCAGCCTAACTTATAGTTACAAGTTATAATAAGGCTATGGAGACATATGATTTATTAGAAAGATTTCTAAATGCAACAATCCAATTATTACAAGCTATAAGTAAACCTTATTTCAACTACTACAAATTAAGGCTTAACATTTAGCCAAATTACAAGTAATAATTAGTAAATGTTTACATTCATCTTTTAGAGTTTGTTTTTATACCAAAAAACACCTCTATCTTGAGTTTCTTCATTTTTTTCCACATAGATGCACTCATTTACATTCTTCCATATTGCTTTATAAACTGGGGTACTATCAAAATTATAGTATTCTCCAAGTATTGGCTTGATAGCTTTTGTTGCCTCCACTGCATGATAATGTGGTATGGTTGTGAATAAATGATGCAAAACATGAGTATTTGTAACGTTATGACATACGTTATTTAGTATACCAAAGTCTCTATCTATCGTAGCTAGAGCTCCTCTTAGCCAATCCCATTCTGAAGAATCATAATGTGGGACTAATGCATGTGTGTGGTTCAAAAAAGTTAGTACCACTACTAGTATGTTCATCATTTGAAGGGGCGCTACATACATGTATATAACCCAAGCTAGCCCTTTTACCATCGCAATACGATACCACATATAAATAAATGCAATTAGACCTAAGTCTGAGAAGTATATTAGTAGCCTCTCACGATCATTATACATCGGACTATATGGATTATAGTGACTTGCAAAACGATCATAAGGTCTACCGGAGGCATTGATGGCCATGTAAGAAGGCCAACCAATAGTGAGGGTGGTGGTGAACGCGATTATTCGTCCTGGTAGATTGTTGAAATATTTGGAGAACCATCGTAGTTCGGATTTAAGCCTAGGTACGTAGACTTCATCATACTCAAGGGAACCCCCATTGGAGTGATGACGACGATGACTATATTTCCAAGAAAAGTAAGGCACACAAATCGAGGTGTAGAAGATAAAACCAACCGTGTCATCTATCCATTGGTAATTACTAAAGCCATGGTGACCACATTCATGAGCAATGACCCATATTGCTGTGAAAACACTACCTAGAGCAAACCAATAAATAGGCCATGCTAGATAATTATATGGGGATGGAAGGACATAGATGTAATTCGCGGCGATATACCCTAATACAAACACTAGTGTGATATCCCGAACAACGTAGGAGAAGGAGCGAACGAGAGATCGTTGAAAGCAGTGAGGAGGAATAGCCTTCTTGAGTTCACTAAGTATAAACGGGGGCTTTGATAGTGGTACTTTAATCTTTTGATCAATTTTAGTCATATTAGCACCACCTCCCATTTTGGTTTGTGATAAGTTGGAAGAAAAAAAAAAAAGACAAACTTTTGGTAAGAAGGGAAAATACCTTTTAGACTTGCTTCAAAGTTGGATATTACTCTCTTCTTTATAGGAAAAAGAATATAGAGGCTAATGTAGGGAGAAGACAAAAGGTAACAACCACAGTTAAAATTAATTATTCAAAGTGAAAGTGATTTGTGTGTTAAGTATTAGGAGCCTTCGTTTGAAATTTCCACACAAAGACTAAGACTAATTAATTACTTGAAAAGTGAAGGATGTGTTTTGACGTGTAAGTAGGTGCATCATGCATGGAATTAAAAAAAGTTCATTTGCTAGCCAAATTTGACATTTCTCTAGCAAGACTTGTTCAATAGCTTGAAATGATTAATAATTACTACTCCTTTATGTGATGTAGTAGTTTAATTTGTTATAGGATTTAAGAAAGAAAGAAAGAAAAGCTTTAAAAATTTATGGTATAAAATAAGTCATAGATGTTTGTGTGGTTATAAGTTATCTCATTGATTGTAAAATGAATATTTTGAAGTTAAATTGTTAGTAAATATAGAAATATGTCAATTTTTTAGATTGACTAAAACTGAAAATGATTCATATAAATTGGGACATATAAAGTATTACTTTAATTTACTATAGAAGGGAGAGTTGAGTTTAGGGATGACAATGGGGCGGGACAGATGCGGGGCGGGGTGGGTTTAAGGCTATGCGGCACGAAACGGAGCGACTTTAAGGTTGTGCGGAGTGGGAGGGATGCGGGCGGATTGAAGTGGATTGTTTTTTAAACTAATGCGGGGCGGGGCAAGTGTATGTGATTTTAGCTATGACTTTTAGTTTAAAAATCATATTCTTTAGTTATTGCTTTATTATTTTGAATGTCGGTAATATTTATTTATATCTTGTAATTACTTTGAGTAAAAATCAACGATCGATGACGAAAAATACTTTAATTATAGACATCTTAATGGACCTCTTCATAATAAATTTGCGTAAGCAAAAAGTAATTAACCGCTTAAATATCTAAAAATCATATTAAATTTAATTAACATTCTAAATTTTAGTCATATCACGTAAATTAAAATAAAAAAATACTAAATATTGAGCCCGTGCTAGCACGGCAACTCTGTCTAGTAGGGATTATAAGAGGGAGTTTCCTATGCTAAGGTAGGTATCAGGTATAGAAAATTTTGAATGTGTTGACTAAATTATCCTCTGTTTAAGTCATCATATATCACTTTATTCATCCTATCACTTTTGCATGTGTTCTTCGATTATTTAAAAAGAGAAAAAACAATTTGCCAGAAAACAACAAACATACAAATTATAATACAACGTTAGAACTGTTAGTTAGTCAATATTCTTAGAGGAATATATTATAAAAATACAAATTAAATATACATCATTTTTTGACTGTTTTAATACCACCATTCTTAAATTTCATTCTAAGACTAAGAACATTGAAAGTTTAGTTGGCCTGTCATTTTTATGTTGAGTATTCTATCTCGAGATCAAACATAATAGACTTCTTATTTAGGAAATATAGAGAAAAATTAACTAAAATTCTAATTTCCTGCATATTAGAGTATATTTAAAAACAATAACATATTCAGTGTAATTTTATAAGTGAACATAATACATTAATCTTTTGTACCGAAGTAAGGTTACTTTGAGATGAATTCTTGGTTAGTCGATTACCTTGCCTGATTAAGAGAATAATAAGGAACTCTAAATCCAACATTTCACATGAATAAAATATTCCACCTTTACAAAAAATAAATAACAGTTAATATTAATTAAAGACTAAAGACCAAAGTATTACTATCCCAAAAAAAATATTAAAATATTTTTCTCACCCCACTTCACCATCTCCTACCCCCACAATCCCCATCCTATCATTTTTTAAAATTCTTTTATAAAATATCTTTTTTTTATATTATTTAAAATAAAATTCTACCACATCTCATCTAACCCACCGTTCCTATTTTTTTTTCTTACATTTTTCTCATTGTTTTTAGAAAAATATTTTTTCTAATTTCGAACCGAATATAATAGAAATAAAAAAATTATTTTTAAAAAACTCTTGCGGCAAGTAAAAAGATATTTTTCTAAAAACCGTATATATATCTAATACAAAACAACAACAAAAAATTAGAAGCGGAGGATTAGGTGAGTGGGGTAGATTTTTTATTTTTAAAAAAAACAAATTAAAATATTTTCTAAATTATTATTGAAGGGATGGGTGGGGGAAGTACGGTGAGAGCAAGTGGTGGAGTGGGGTAAGAAAAATATTTATATTTATTTTATAATTTATCTTTTTAGCTGGGATGAAATAGTAGTACTTTAATCTTTAACTTTAACTAATATTAATAATTTATTTAATTTTTGTCAAGGTGAAATATTTTGTCCATGTGGAGTGTGATGTGACAATTTTTTAAATAAAATAAAAGAGAAAGTGTTACACACACCATGATGAGAGTGTAGTAAAAGAGAGATGTGTGTTTCTTAAACTAATAAGTGATAGTTTAGGTATGAAACTTATACTCTCAATAGTTTAGGTATGAAATTAAAAAGAAAGAATAATTTAGGTGTGTTTTTTATTTTTGGACTCTTATATCAAAAGAAAATAAGAAGTTAAAGAAGAAAAGGAAGGATGAACATTAATCTAGATTACACATTTTCTATGATCCATTTTTTTTTTTATATTTAGTTTAAAATAGATAGCTGTTCTGGAATCAAGGAGATATTAATTTATTACAAGTTAATTAGTTAAAGTTCATAAATTTTATTTTACTGTTCAAAATTTTACCATATGTTATTGTTATTAAGTAAGTAATATATATATATATATTTAATTACCCATTTAATTATTATTATTATCCTTATTTTATCTGTAGATGCTTGATTACTTATGTTAAGTATATTAAATATTAAAATAATAAACATGTCACAATTGAAATTATTATTATTTTACGGATTTCATTTCTAGCCATAAATAAATGATAATGCGTACAATCTGATTTAACTCATAAAAGAACCTCAAAGTTAGCTATTTCATTTGTTGTATAGTTAAGAATTTTGGGTCTATCACGAAAGAAAATGATGTAATGAATAAAGTTATTCCTTTTTTATTTAAGTTTTAAATATATAAAAAAATTAACGTAAAGTGTTTTCTCTTGAATATAGTTTAATACAGCTAAATCTAAATTAATTAAGCTCTGATATGAATACTAATAAAAAGCCAACCAAATATATAGAGAGAGATGTTTGAAGTTTAGTATTGCTGAGGCCTTTAGGGACCCACTCAAACTTTGTAGTCCACATCTATGGCATACTCCAAATCTATGAATAAATAAATAAATGATAATGCTTACAACATGATTTAATTCATAAAAGCACCTCAAAAAGTTACTCCTTCCGTTTCAAAAAGATTGGTCTGGTTTGACTTGGCACGAAGTTTAAGAAATTAAAGAAGACTTTTGAATCTTGTGGTCCTAAATTAAAGTTATGTCAAATGTACAAAATTGCCCTTAATCTTGTGGTCTTAAACATGCCACGTGGAAAGCAAAAAGTAAAATGTTATCAAAAAAAGAAAGAGGTCATTTTTTTGAAATTGACTAAAAAGGAAAGGAGGTCATTCTTTGTGAAACGGAGGGAGTATTAATTATTTCATTTTGTTAAATAGTTAGAATTCTATGCTTATCATTAAAGAATACAGTGTAATAAATGAAATTGTTCACTTTTTTATTTGAAATTTGAGTTTTTAATATAATTTTTTTAAAAAAATATAAAGTGTTTTCTCTCAAATAAAGTCAAACACAATATAAATTTAAATCAATTAAGCTCAATATGAATATCTAGGCACATATCATTTATATTGATGTATCGTTAGGTTGTGCCGAGTTAAAGTTACTCTTTTTTTCCGTTGTAGAAAAGAGATTTCTTCCCTTTGCTTTCGAAAATGATGAATATGAAGTCCGAAGGGTTACAAGTACTAAAAATCTTTGACACCCAATCGAGTTGCTTTCCCAGGTCTTGCCGGTGTTGATATTCATTATCAAATAGAAATCAAATGTATATACACTAGTAAATAAATAAATCTTCTGAGACAACCCACTCAAACTTTGTAGTCCACATCCACTGCAAATTTCAAATCTAATTCATTTGCAGTCGTCTTTACACATATATTATAGGAATATAACTTTGTTTTTTTTTGTGTCAATTTTCAAAGCATGTGGATTAGCTCGGATAGAGTGTATCAACCTATATTGACCACTCTAATTATTAATAACAAAACTGTAATTGGCGTTGCTCTTAAAAGTCATTTACTTTCTCCGTCAAATATTACTTGTTTCTCTATATTTTACATATCTTTCAAAAAATCATAAAAAAAAAAAAACTTTACTAATTTATTCTTTTATTTTTTTCAATACACTTCATTTATATACCATATTAATTAATATCAGATTTATAATAGAAAAAAATTCTAATTTTTCTAATATTATGATTTCAAAAGAAATTAATTTAAGGATAATATTAAAAAATAATTAATTATATAACTATATATATTGTAAACTATTACTTGATTATACATATTTAAAACTAGTAGCAAAAAAATTAGTAACACGATCATCATTCATCTGCATATTAAAAGTGAAAATAAAAAAAAATTAAAAAAGGAGTTTCTAGAAAATAAAGAGTATGGAAAATACAATAAATAAATTCATCAATAAAGCTAATGATCAGTAAAAAAAAAAAAAAAGGGAAGTAAGTTTAACAATTTATATTATTGAAAGAGTGTATACAAGAAAGGTTAAGAAGCTAGAACTCTATTCCAACACAATCTTCATTTAAATTCGAATTCAAATATTGCATTTTAAAAAAAAGAACTTTTATATTATTTTTATCATCCTTACTTTTTTTTAAACACAAAATATTTTTCTAATAAGATATATATCTAAATTGAAAGAAATATTTGAAATCAATGAGATTTTTCCCCCCTACATTGCCATTTGCCTCCCTCCCCCTCCCCTCTTTTTCTCGTTTATTTCTTCTTTT